TTAGTCGGGTGAGTGAGACCCATGTCAGAATCTGACTTATGGAACTGTAAGACAATACATTGATGTTCATTAAGCTGCTAAATTTGTGGTAAATTGTTATGGTGGCAAATAGAAAATTCAATACGTTCTAAAGAGAAAAAATTACCCACAAAAACTCTTCCTCTTTGAAAACATTAACATAAATATCTAACCACTATGCTATATATCTGAAATTAATGTAAAAATAATATTGAATGTCAACTCTAATTGAAAAATAAAAATTAAAAAAATTAACAAAAATGTGCATTATCAGAAGAAAAAAAGTTCTGTTCTTTTGCTCTGATACTTATTAATAATCTAAATCAAGAATTGTACCAAGATTTCCCAACTAAAATTAAAATCTGCACAGCTTTCTACCTACAAGGGAGCACCCATAATACTGTCAGCTGATTACTCAAAAGAAACTACACAGGACAGAAGGGTTTGGCACAAAATATTCGACAGGATGAAGACCCAGGATCTACAATCAAGAATACTTTATCCAGCAAAGCTATGATTTAGAGTTGAAGGACAGATAAAGAGCTTCCCAGACAAAAATAAGCTAAAGGAATTTATCATCACCAAGCCAGTATTACAGGAAATGTTAGAAGGACTTTTTAAGAAGAAAAAACATGTATCAAAAACAGGAATAAAGGATGGTAACAACTACATTCCTATCAATAAGTACTTCAAATGGAAAAGAATTAAGTGCTTCCATTAAAAGATAGAGTAGGTAAATGGATAAGAAGACAAGACCCCTACATATGAAAAGGAAGGGGGTGGAAAAAAATATTGCTTTGATGGAACTAGAAGTTATTTAAGTCAGGCAGAGAAAGATAAACACTATATGATTTCACTTATATGAAGAATCTAAGGAATAAAAAGAACAAACTAATCAAAAACAGACTCACAAATATAGTGGACAATTTGGTGACAGACAGAGGGGAGGGGGGTTGGAAGGTTGGGAGAATGGGGCGAATGGTTAAAGAAGTACAGATTAGTAGTTGATAGTTGGGCACGGGGAGCATGGCAGAGGGAATGCAGTTAGCATTAACATGATGGCTAAGTGGAGGGCCAGGGGAGGGAGGGAGCAATTTGAGGGATTGTTTTATGAACATTATAGATGTCTAACCAATATACTGTATACTTGAAACTAATTTAAATAAATAAATTTATATAAAAAAGAGTCAAATGTTCATATTTCATTCCTTTTATTTTCAATGTACAAAACTGATACCATGCTTATTACTCAGAGAAGAGGTGAAGGTAACAATAAGTCAGATTGTACTGATTATGTTTTATCTGTGTTGGCACAGTTTATATAATATTTAAGAAAACAATCATCTGGAAGGAATTGCCTCATGTCAACACAGCTAAGTGTTCTGGGAAACCAATAAAGAAAATGGTTAAAACAAATCCCCCCAAAACAGAATACAGTATACTCTATAGTCAACACAGGCTTGCTAACTGCTGAAGAGGAGTGTGTTAGATTTTAATGAGGTTTTGAAAATGTATTACAAAAGCATAACAAGCTACCTGTAAAAGAGCAATTGGATGGACATTTTAATGGAAAGTCTCTAATAGCCTCAAAATGCAAAGGAACCGACACACTGCAGCTTCAATTTGCCTCATTGCACACATCTGTATGACATTTGGAATAAACAGGGACTTCTGAGAAATTGAGACAGGGGATTTACCTTTTTGTTCCTGGAGTCAAAAGCAAAATTCACACCTCCTTACTCATCCACCCTTCTATCCCTGGCCTGGGAGAAAGGGCTGTGGTTCTTATTTCCCTTTATGGGCCTGGCTCCATTTGGTGCATCCTCTACTCTACTCTGGACCAGGCCAAGTTGTAGGTCTCTGGCTGAAGAGGGAGCTGGCAAGGAGAAAGTGATTTGTCTAGAACCATATGAAGTTAAAGAGCCCCTCTTGGCTGCTGGCCTTTAAGCCTACCTAAGCAATACGGGGCCCAGTCATCCTCACTTTCAAAGAAGTCAAAGTTCACCCTGGGCTACTGACTGGCACCTCATTCCAGCTCTGTTGCCTGCCTAGACATAGTGGGCCTCCTTGAAGAATGAGGGCTTGTTCTAAGCAGACTTGAGTCTTCCATGAATGCTTAGCCAGAGAATCTTTTTAAATGTGGAAACACTGGGTTCTGATTGAAGCCAAATAATGTGTGGTGACCTCTGGACACAAAGAAATGATGTATCAGCTATTATGAAGAGCCTTCTGATCAAGACAGTGAAGAAAGCTAGCAATCTAAGAAAGTAGTGGCCCAGCAGGTCTTTCTGAGGTAGCCATGAATAGTCATGCAAACGGTAGCACCAGGTTGACTGAAATGCAATGACAGATCTCAGCAGGGTGGGATTACTCATTGGGTAACAAGTGTCCAGTAGTTCAGCCCAAATGAGACTCCAATGTATAATTTGACAGATGGTCAAAAGGGCTTAGGCCTTCCTTCTTCAGATGGTTTGGGTTTGCGATGTGATTGTTGTATGGGGGAGGGAAGGGCTAGGGACAGAGTGGGAGGTGCCACCCTACAGGCTTTTCATACACACCTGGCAGCGGCTGACCCGGGTGTGA